TATGTTGCATATGCATTGACATGATATCACTCATACAAGAACATTTATAAATTATATTACAATAAAAAAATGTATCTATTAATCTCATTCACTTTCTTTCATAACCTCATCATCCACCTTCATATCAGATACTCCACCCGGGTTTACATAAGTTTCGTTTGAAGACTCCAATATTTCCATCTGATCGGGAACATCCTGTATCTCGGGTGTTTCTTCCATTGTTGTTGGCTGAACCTCCTTGGAAAATGATTCACCAGAATTCTGCGTTACTTCGGTCCTGTACGCATCGTCCACGCTAGGTGTTTCATTGATTGAAGAGGACTCCAAAAACGCGTTCGATGAGACAACCGTTATTTCCATTTTATTTGAAGAATTGGAATCCGTGTCCGGTTTTCCCTCATCTACATGCGTTTCACTTGACGCTGTGTCTTTCGCCATAGGCATTTCATTTGTTGTTACTTGCAAGGTAGGTGAAATTTCGCTTTTTTCATTTTGATTCTCGGAAGAATCTGAAGTAACCATGGATTTTTCTTCAACCTCATGAGATTCCAAAGATGATGATGAGTTGTGGATTTCCTCAGGAACATGCATTTCACTAGAAGAGCTATATGTACTCATAGGATTGGGCTCCTTATTTGTTTGACTAGAGGTATCAGTGGACATTTCATGGTCGGACATACTTTCAGATTCGTCGGCGTCCACGGCAGGCAACCAGAATGCCTAAAACAAACACTATAAGTATTAGCAACATAAAGTTTCGAATTAAATACAGGGTGACAGATGTAACGTACCAAATCTGTACATGCGCTAATCATCATCAATCTGGTGGGATTGAATTTTACAACCTGAGTCGGTCTAACGTGATGTTCCAGTGTATGTATGGGTCTTGCGTCGATTCCTTCTGAAAGCATGTTAGAGGTACTCAAATTTGTCGAAGCGTCCCAAAAGCTTATTTGTCCATCCTGAGATCCTAGTAACAGGAATATTATTTAAGTGGATCTATGAGGTGAGATGAAAACGATCGACATTTTTTGAGTCTAAATATACCGGCAATCACGTAGCGACCATCGGGCGTGAAACATGTCTCCTCTCCCCCTAAAAAGGCGGATGCATTGTTTAATCCAACTTGTCCTACTAATCTACGTTTTATTTCACCGTCATACGCGTCGATTATATAGTGGACGTCACCCGAAGTGGTTATCAATATCTTGTCGCCATCGTTGCTAAATTTGATTCCCGTCCATTCTGGAAATACAGGAATCTTTGGATACACAGCTGGGGTCATGTAATTATCAATTAGATGAAATGTAGCAAAAGGAGCCTGCAAATGATTAAAGAAAAAAAATTGAGTATTTCGGATATTGACCAGCAGTCAGTTTCTTAATTATTACCTTATCAAATTTTCTAACATCATATAATCTTACTGAACTATCGAGACTCTGAAGACAAACGGCAAACACGACACCTGTGGGATCGAATGCTACGCATGGTCTTCCGGTTTGATTGTTGATGAAACCCTAAAAGAAAAGGTGTATAAATAAGTACAGTTTTTTTTTGAGAATATTGGATCTTATTGTAATTATACACAAACTTATATAGTACAATGTCGTTAAATTGTCGCAAGTCCCACAATCGAACGCCTTCATTTATACTGCCCGATATGAACATATCACTGGAAGGCGAAATCTCCAATGAAACGACCCTGACAATCAATTCCCGTACAAATATTTAATATTTGGTATCTTGATAATTCGCGATGGTAACACGTTGTCAATAAGGCCTACCTATTCTGATGTCCTTCAAAATATCTGATGAACTTGTTCATGTGTAGCGAAAGATATCTCAACGAGTCTAATACGTGACGAAGAAATAACAACGGATCAGTACAGACGGATGAATTTTTTTTTTTTTTTTTAAGGAGAAATTGCTACTTATAATACCGTTTTCCTTTGTGGACGCGTAAAGGATATTGGTACTAAGATGTGTAAAGCGAGTGATATGAATTCCATATTTTTTGCTCCACAACAATTTCTTGTGCCTATTAGAAAAGAAAATATTTCGTTAGTTCTGGTTGACCATCAGATATGAAGTGGAGTATTATTACTAAGGTGGTTGAATGGGACGCTTCGTAATTTGAATAATCAAAAGTAAAAAACAAAAAAAGACACGTGTACACCACATGTGAAAAAGCTTAAATAATAAATATATCAAGCTGAAAGAAAGTGATAATGAAGCTACCGTGAAATAGCCCATTATGAACAAAACGACACTCTAAAGTCAGTCGCGCGAAAATAAAGTATATTAGTGAGAAAATCGGTATGCTAATAAATGGAGGAGACCAGTTCTCACCTTCCTTGAAGACAGTTATAGACATTAATGGAATCGTCCGCAGAAGCGGTCACACATAATTCACCCGAATCGTCAAAATCGGCAGAGGTAATGGGTTGTAAGTTCTCGTAAAAGTTTTTGGCCGCTTTAAACTTGAGCAGGTGATTGACATTTAGCTCCTGACAAGTTTCCATTGAATTTTAAAAAGCAAAGAACGAGATTACTACGCCTCCGATCTTATCAGCAGTCAGTGGGTGTGATGACATGATGATTGATCGCCACACTACTAGTGATCACTTGACAATCCGTCGAGTGAGGCGAAAGAGCTTTGATGCTTTCGGCGATTTTATTTACGTGTGATTGATGGTGATTCCGGGGGTATCACTATATGATCGATCAATATACTGCGTGTGGTCATTAACGCTGAGGAGCAAAGTGAATGAATGCCAATATTTATTGAATTGATTGCTACTAATCGTCGTTACTATCAATCAGATAACATTACAATATTATATTTAATTAATTAATAATTACTTGTTTATTTTACAATTACAAAACATCCCAATTTTTGATTTTGTTATTTACAAAATTTTTTCCACACGATTTGCACAGTAACCATTCCCACTCCTACCATGGTAGCTGATGAAGAAATAAATGTACCGGTGATTTTGTAAATACTTTGTGCCAAACTTGACGAACGTGTAAAAAGAGAGAAAAGGACATCTCATCTACCTGTTTTGATGTTGTTCCACATCACTTTTTCCTGATTTAGAGTTTTTTCCTTTTCCAGCACCTGAATTTTATCCTGAGTCTCCATCAATTCTTTTTTTATTTTAAAATTTTCCTGTCTAACTCTTTCAACTTCTTCCTTAATGATTTCACATGCCAATGTCAATGATTTGATTTGTTGCCTTGATGTTATTTTATCCTGTTTATGCATTTCCAATTCTTTTTTTGTTGTTTCAATTGTCTTTATCCACTCTATTCTTCTTATTGTCCAAGTGTTGTCATTCTCAAACGCCTGGTTAATTATTTCTATTAATGCTCTATTCAAATATTTTACCATCGGATCCTTCGACTTTAATGCAAATTTTAACATTGGATTTTCCTCGAACAATAATATTGGAGGACCCGATAATGCTCCCGGAGGTAGAATAAATGGAGTTGTGTAATCAATATTTGCCGACGTGATTGAACGTTCCTTCAGATGATTTGTCTTTTTCCGTGAATTCGAACTGTAGAGACGAATCCGATGGTGGTTATAAAAAAAAGAAAAATGTAAAAAATAACTTATGATTTTTACATACCGGTGAGAATATTGGAAAACTTCATTTTCCTTAATTGCCTCGTCATAACTTGTGTGAATATTGAAGTCGTCGATGTCAATCTGTTCTACCAACGTTACATCACTAGCAATTGATTGTTGCCTTTCTCTTGGGTGGGACTCTGAGTGATAGAATACGCGTGCGTCTTATTTCTGGGAAAAAACGGTGTAGATCGCAAATCAATCAATGAACCATGTCAACGTCATACCTGTCAACGTGATAATCTCGGTATCGAACCCGGATGTTGTTTTTTCACCGTTCACATCCTCGAACTCACTAAAATGTTCGGAGTTGCCTTCGTCAAAAAACAAATTTGCAATCAAATTGTTAAATCTCCGTGGTTACCTGTGATACGTACATTCGAGAGGAGTCACAGTCACCGGGAAAAATTACTTTGTCGTCGGACGAACTTGACCAGTAATTCGGTGTATCAGACGTCTTTGTCGATAACGGAATTGTTGTTGGCATCAAAGAGATACCCGGAGACACCAAGGGTATTGTCGAAGGAGCATTTGCGCGAGTGTGAAAAGTGGATTTTTGATGTGTTAGACAATCTGGTACTATCGAGGTGGAATATGAAGGGACGTTTGCGGTGAACGCACTCGACCCTTCAAGATCTTGAGAGCTTGTGCGGGGTGGAAAAAGTGATGTTTCAATTTTCATCCCAGCAGACGATGTACAGTATATCGACAATGCGCATCGATTAGAAGAATGGAATTAAATTTGGAAGGACTATTCGATAATTTTGCCGTTTTAATTGTAAACGATTCGTATATAGGAAAAAACGCGCGACAGACGAACCCCTGATTATATGGACGTTTTACGTGTTTAGAAAGAACATCCAATTTAGATCTCTGAATGAGATGGCCTGATGAATTGTGTAAGGCTGGATAGAATCAGGTGTTCCGAAGAGACCACTAAGACCTGATCACTGTGCACTGTTGTGTGATCGAAAAACGAGGTAGAATTCATAGATTTATACAAATTTTCTGTTTCCTATGTTGCGTCACTCGTGTGACAATAGGCTAAATTTTGCCGGGTACAAGTTCATGCCTGAGACTTCAAATGCACATCGATCGTAACGCCATCCATCAAATATTACTATTGATCTAACCGCTATTGTCTTCTGTCCTCGTGATCATTTAATATGACTTTGGCTGGTGCAACAAGAGTGGTGACCAGAGATCAGGGTTTTCATGCAATCACATGTCCTTAATGCATCTATTAGCAAGTTTTGAGTTCAAATGGACGTCGATTGGAGGAAACCCAATCACAACTGCATTGACAAGCTTTAAAGACTGCGCACAAGGATTCAAAACAAGTGATCCACTTCGCTGCACACCGAACAAAATTCCGTATGTAATGTACGTATGTATGCTATACTACCTTTGTTTGATATAAAACCTTTTTCGTGATATAGCGTGGTCGCGAAGGCGTAAATAATCTAAGGAGAGAGATTGATGTCGTAAACATCATGGAGAGTGTTAGAGATTAACGAATTATAAAAGCTCATACTCTCTTCGAACTTTTTCCTTCACATTTCACCTTATCGCAATAATTGCGTGCGGGAAGGAGCTACTTTTGTTTTGCTCGGCTCTCTCGTAGCCTTGTTTTATTTATTTTTTGTTTACAAGAATTCGGACACTGTATTTTTTTCCGATACATAAAAGCATACATGTGCTAGAGTAACCAAAGAATTCTATTGGTGTAAAAATAAATTCAAGGAAAAGTAAGATGAGGTTCATTCAAAAAATCACAGTAAATAAATCATGTTGGTACCATTCTGTAAATTAATGTGTGTTTATAAATAACTAAATGTACATCGTCATGTATATCCTTATGCTGAGGTGAAATCATTCCCCCATTTCTTCATCATCCCATGCCCACCCGGGACTATTCTCCCTTACATTTGTGGTTTTCCCAACTTCCAAATTGAAGGCAGAAATTCTAGCGTTCTTATTGTGAAGGGGCGATGACGATTTTTCGTCCCCCTTCTTGGAAGAATTTTCACCACGTGTAACCCGTGTTATTACATTAATCTCTTCCTCTTCATCGATTTCGCCCTCCTCGATAGAAGACGAACTTACCTCGGCTCCGACATTATTGTTTGATGAAGGATCTTCATCCATTTCTCCTTCTTCACTCTTCACCTCAACTTCCTTCTTTATTTCACTTTTGCTCCACGTCGCATTAGCCGGAGCATAAGTCTCTTGTCGATCAACCTCGATGTTAGTGTCCTGTGATTCGCTGCCCACACTTTCCGTGTCCACCTCTTCGGATCTGGAGTTACTAGTCTGCCTTATTATTACCTCATCGTCTTCGTCCTCAGCATTCTCTATCCAATTTTCCAACTTCTCGGACAACGCAAATTCGTCTCCAACCCCGTCCAATGCTTCGAGTATTTCTAATAAAAGCTCGTATTCTTGACACGACTTGGAATACATAGATATCTTTCCTTGCGTACACGAAGTAACGTGATGAGAGATAGCGTCCAAGGATCGGGCTATGCTCAGCTGAGCATAGGTCATAACCGATTGCGGCGGCGACTCAGTCTGATGGTCATTTGTTGGTGCGAAATGTGACTTTGTAAAGGATGACATTAATGACTCGTCAAATTCCGTGGAATAGTACAAACTTAGAGATCAAGAAAGAATAAGTTACTGTCAACGGAGCACCACCAACGTTGTCGGGATCTGTATCATGTGAATTTACCTATCCTCCCCGAGCGCTTCGTGCAAGTACTCCGAACCTTGACCAGGAATGATCATGAATGGTGCAGGAATAACGTTGGTAGTCATGCTTGCGGGTGTCTTTGCCTGGAGAACGAACGAACATACAAACAATTGATTTCACATGAAATTGAAGAGAACTCGCGTGTTGACCCACGATAAAAGTAGACTCGCCTTTTTCGACGCGCTCCTGCTATAATTTTCGGAATCAATTCCCTTTCTTTTTCTGGTGGCCTCTTCCACAACATCTTCAGATGCGGTGGAATATGAAGCCCGCCTCGATATGCCATCTGTAATGTCCGTGGTACTTGCTCTTCTTGCTCTCAATTTTTTATTTGAAGCTCCTTGCACATTTCCCCACACCGAAAATAATTCTCCCACCTCATCATCTTCGTCTTCCCTCTCATCTATCAATGATGGATGGTTGTTCGTCGAAGCACCGCTGATTCCTAATCCATTGACCCCTGTGGGTAGTACATCTGCCAATTCTTTCAAAATGTTCATTTCCACGATGTCTCCCTTAACGTCACGATTCAAATTCTGAAATTGATTCAAGACTTCCGACAAAGATGGAGCTGAGAAATAGCATTGAGCTGTCGTGCTTTCAATGTCCATTATTATTGTAGAATTGTCTGAGTCTATGGTTTTAGGTGCTTTCTGAATAACAATTCCAATGAGATCCTGGAATAAGGCACACGATTCACGTGCTATCAAGGGAGTGATCTCCCTTACATCGTACTCTGATTTTGATTGATACACACGAAACCCGTTAATTTTGAAGAGAATAAACTTGGTCTATGCATGAGAAATTGGTACCTGCGTGTTGTCTGAGATAATTTGCTACGATGACCTTTAGCATGGATGATTGTATGGTACGAAAGTAAACAGAAGCTATGCGTGGCGGATTACAACGTGATAAAACGTCAAGTTCTGGTGCCTGCCGTTGTCAAGGGAAAAAAAAATAATAATAGTTTTTTTTTTAAGGGTTCGGAAATGTGCAAGAGGTTAACCCCGACGAGAAAAACCTACCGCAAACCAACCGAGTACGGTCTGACCTTTCCAGTTCATCAACTTTGCGATTGTGCTAATGAGGTCTTGTGAACTAGATTTGAAGGGGAAAAATCCCTTTAAAAAAAAAAAAAAAAAATACCAGTGTTTCGTTGTGAGCGATTGTCGTAGATATGTGTGATCGTATTTGCTTACCATTTATTGCACAAACCTTTACGTGAATGACAAGTCTCCGATCTAAGGTTTCTTCTCGTTGACCGAACAAAATGCCTTGAATCGGCGTTCCATCGGTTGCTGGCCTGAGCCTGACAAAAACATCTGAAAGATTAAGTAAAAGAAAAAAAAATAATTAGAATAAATTTATTAAACGAAAGGGTCCAGAGCTTCATAACCGTGCGTACCTCTTGGAATCTGGATCGTAGCGGGCATTGATTTCGCTGTGAACTTAAGAAAATTTGTTTATCAACGATTTTAGCATTATGTGACTTATGCTTAACGTTCGTGTAACTAGACTATAATATACGCAGTAATCATATGATTCACTCGTTATGAATATGTCAATCAACTCTGGATTGCAAAAGATGGACGAACAGAGTGAAAACAAAGATCCCGACCTTGATGTTGAACAACGTCGACAAGAAATTACAAGCAACTTGACCGACGTGAGGAAACGTATAGAAGCGATGACGCAAGAAAAACGCGAGGTAGTTTCTTTCGGTTGATCCTGCCAATCAATATGCTTGGATAGATGATAAATAACAATAATAATAGGTTAGATTGGTTGCAGTTAGTAAGCAAAAACCTATCTCAGATATCTTGATAGCTTATGAAGATGGACAACGACATTTTGGTGAGAATTATGTAAGTTTTTATTATTGAGAATTTGTTATAATTTTACAATTCTAAAGTTTGCATTTTGAACAGGTGCAGGAATTGGTTGAAAAGAGCAAGGCGGTGTGTTGACCGTTCGACTTACTCTTTAATTACGAAATAATATTTAAGTCCAACTTCAAAAAATATACCAAATATACGTAGCTTCCTTCGGATATCAAATGGCATTTCATCGGAACATTGCAGAGTAACAAATGCAAAATTCTTGCTGGTAAATTATCATTTACCGATTTCCCAAAAGTTTTTCATTTTCTCAATGCCACGCTTACTCGCCGATTCCCAACAGCAATACCGAACCTATGGGCAGTGGAAACGATAGATGGTATACAGAAAGCTGATGTGATGAATAAAGCTTGCGCATCAAGGGAATTCCCATTGAGGGTATTCCTTCAGGTTAACACCAGCGGCGAAGAAAGTAAGTTTTGATTCGGTCAATTCATCTACAACAACTACGCACTGATTGGTGATTCTTGATTTCTCAACAGCTAAAGGAGGAGTTGATCCCGGAGAATGTTTGGCGGCGTTAAATCATATTCAAGATAACTGCGAAAAATTGCAGCTCGCAGGCATAATGACAATCGGTGCACACAGGGAAAGCACCGAAGAATTAAACCCGGACTTTATTGTGTGTATCCTGATTATATATCCCCTTAAACTTCTGTAGCACCTACACGAAATTTTGACCTTCCTTTTTCCACGTCAAATATCTAGAATTTAATGAACTTACAAAAGCAATTTAAGGAATCTCGAGGGATGGAATTAGAGGTCAGCATGGGAATGTCCGATGATTTTGAAGAGGCAATAAAATTGGGCTCCACCAATGTGAGAGTTGGTACAACCATCTTTGGTAGAAGGCCACTCAAACATAAACATTAGCCTCGACCATAAAAAGACCTCGGGTTCTTCAAGTCATCTTGTCAAAATGCATTTTGCCCGATTAAAATTCGAAATCGTTTTTCTTTATATGCACCCAGGCAGAAAAAGAAAAAAATTAAAAAGTTAAAATGAAATCAAATTAACTTATGCTTAAAATTGAGAAATGAAATGAATAAAATAAATAAAATTAATAAATTAAAATTCATTATTAATTAAGTCTATTAAAAAATTGCTTTAAATTTAAAAACATAAACTTTGCAGTTTTCATAGTTTTATTGTTTTCAAATCAGTCATTTTTACCAAAACCTATTGTATAAAAGATAAGCATGCATACCAGTACATGTGGCTTGTGTGTCATTTTAGAAAAAAGCGGACATTTAATTTTTTGAGTAGCGTGATAAATAAAACAGTCTCTACTATAGGTTACTGTACACGTTATTCCTACGGACAAGACGAATCCTTTGCTCATCAACACACACCACACCCAAATATTATTTTAGTTCATATACATCGGACAACATGAATTCACGAGGCCGTCAAAAATCAAAGATAAAGCCACCCAGAAAATCAGTAAGTCCACTACTTAGTTTCTAGTTTGGTCGCCGGCACGAGTCATGAAAGAGTCTTAAAGGCTTGTTTTGCAAGACACTCTTTTGACTTATTTAACATGCTCTCACTCGTTTGACCTCGGAAAGATTCGCTTTCCGGTTGACTCCATGTTAGATTGAGTGATTTGTTACTGTTCAACTACTAAACAGGTCAACCAATAGTATTTGTCGATAGTTTATATAAAAATATACTTCTGCATACTTCATAAATATTCTTTCTTTGTTTCTACACACCATGTGAAATTCTTTTTAACTATTTTAAAAATAAACCATTCTTCTTGACAAACAAAAATGCAACGAACACGTTACCAGAATGCAGCCGATAGTCAATTCAACGATAATTGGGAACGTCTAGCCCAAGCCATTCGAGAGATTCATAAAAAAAATGCGTCGATCCTAAGTTTCGAAGAACTATATCGCAACGCTTATAATATGGTACTCCATAAGAACGGAGACAAGCTATATGAAGGCGTCAAAAAAGTTATTACTCAACATTTGGAAGATGTAGCGTTAGCGCAAGTAGTACCTGCCTTTCCGTTATCAGGTGCCAGCAGTTCGCAAGCCAATCCAACAAATGGAGCTGGTGGTGCAAATTTCTTGAAAGTGTTGAAAACTGTGTGGGAAGATCATACAACTTGCATGCTTATGATCAGAGATATTCTTATGTATATGGTAGGTATTGTAGAATTTGCTATTTCTGTGTTTGAAGGTTGTGACAAGTTATTCCGAAGAAGGGTTATCCCATCATTCGGGACCTAACTCTTGATACATGCACTATGATAAAAGGATCGGGTTTACGCGAAATCTGCGACCGTTCCTCTGGTCTATGATCTGGGATTAGAACTTTTTAGGGACACAATAGTCCGATCCCAAAAATATCCAATCCAACATCATCTGTTGGACGTGCTTCTGCAACAGATTCTCCTTGAGCGTGAAAACGAGATCATCGATCGTTCCAGCGTGAAGGCTTCAATGGATATGTTACTTGAGTTGGTTGACGCAGCAACAAAAGGGACAGTTTATGACGCTGACTTTGAGGGTCGATTCCTGGAAACAAGTGCTGAATATTATCGTGTGGAAGGACAAATGTTGGTTAGCGATTGTGATGCCCCAGAATACATGAAAAAGGTCCGTCTCGTTCTTTGATGTCACGGTTAATGTCAATACTCACTATTGACAATGATGGGCGTAATTTGGGTTTATTTTTTTTAAAGGTCGAAAAGCGACTAAATGAGGAAGAACAAAGGGTGCGTCATTACCTTTCGCAAACAACGGAACAAAAAATTAGAAACATTGTCGAAGAGGAACTCATTTCCAAACATCTCAAGACGGTTATCGATGTAATCTTTTTTTTTTTTTTTTTTGTCCGTACAAAAATTTTCTATTTAAATTCCTGCTGACTAACGAGTCATTATTTCAGATGGAGAATTCTGGTCTAATTCCCATGTTAAGAAACGAAAAGATGGATGGTATGTGAATAGGCAAGATGCCACATACTAGGATGTCCGTCTTTTTCTGCATAGTGGCTATTGTTTTTTAACGCGACTTTTCGTAGATCTCGGAAGAATGTATAAGCTGTTTGGTCGAGTTATAAAGGGTCACGAAGAAATGAAATCTGCTATTAGTAATCACATACGAGAACTAGGAAAGGAAATTAATGAGAAGGTGTCCAGTAGTAATAACCCTCCTGCGGATACCGCTACTGCGACTACTGCTACTTCTACTGCTGCGGCTACCAGTGAGAACGCTCAAACCGGAACATCGGTGGCTATACGATGGGTGCAGGATGTTCTAGATCTAAAGGATAAGTTCGATAAGGTTCAGGAGCAAGCTTTGTCCAGTGATAAATCATTTCAAACTGCATTTAACGAGGTTTGTCAACAATATTCACATGGTATTGATGTTGAGGTCCTTCTGAAATTAAGGATTTGATTGTTTTTCAGGCATTCGAACATTTCATCAATAAAAATCCCAAATCACCCGAATTCATATCACTATTCATTGATGAGAATTTAAAGAAAGGACTAAAAGGGGTGGGTTTATTGTCCTTTTTCTTTCCGTCGACCTCTTCAATGACCCATCATTCTTCTTCGTTATCCTATTTAGAAAACGGAGGAAGAGGTTGACAATGTATTGGATAAGACTATAACGCTGTTTCGATTTATTGGTGAAAAAGATGTTTTCGAACGATATTACAAACAACATTTGGCTAAGCGCCTATTACTTGGACGTAGTGTAAGTGATGACGCCGAAAGAGGAATGATAGGAAAACTTAAGGTAAGTTTGTGCAATAATAATAATATAATAATAATAGCATCGATCCAGTCGTAATCGTAACCTCGTTGTTCTAGATCGAGTGTGGATATCAATTTACCACAAAACTTGAAGGGATGTTCAATGACATGAGGATGTCTACGGAAACAATGACTGAATTTAAAAAGGATCAACAAGATAAACAACCATCGGAGGTAGGTGTTTTATTAAAAATGAATTAATAAATTCGACCTGCACGCATGCCTCATTCTTTCATCGTTAACGTTTGTAGAGACCTAAACTGGATATAAATGTCACTGTTCTTACATCCACATTTTGGCCAATGAACTTGTCGGCAAGCCCGCGATGTAATTTTCCCGCTGAAATAACAAAAGCCTGTGAAATTTTCCAAAAGTTTTACCTTGAACGACACAGCGGGCGAAGATTGACATGGCAATCAAATATGGTAATCGCAAATGAATTTTTTCTTTGCCTGATATTAAAAAACGACTTATGCGATCGATATGAATTTAAATAGGGAAATGCTGATATTCGTGCCAACTTCAATTCACGGAAACATGACCTTAACGTGTCAACATATCAAATGGTGATACTTTTAATGTTCAATAATTTACCAGCTGACGAATATTTATCATATGAGGTATTCAGCTTTCGACCTTCTTCTTAATTAAACTCTTGTGAACTCGTGAGAACTAAAAAATTATACATTCTAGATAATAAAAGGTGAAAGTGACATTCCTGAGCAAGATCTAAAGCGCAATCTTCAATCATTAGCTTGTGCCAAATATAAAATCCTTTTGAAAGAGCCCAAAGGTAAAGAAATTAACGCTGGAGATAAATTCTATTTCAATGCCGAATTCACTGCTCCACTACAACGAATCAAAATTCAAACGGTTGCAAGCAAGGTTGAAACAGAGGGAGAGAGAAAAGATACAAGGGAAAAAGTTGAAGAGGCGAGGAAACATCAGACAGAAGCTGCAATTGTAAGAACTATGAAAGATCGAAAGACTATGGAACATAATCTTTTGATTGCAGAGGTGACACGGCAATTGCAGCAAAGATTTGTTCCTCATCCAAGTATGATCAAAAAACGAATCGAAGCCTTGATCGAGAGAGAATACTTGGAACGGGCGCCCGGTAATAGGTTAGTAATTGGTTGACAATTTTTCTTCCGCGTGCATGTAATCTAACTATGATTTTACATAGGCGTGTTTACAACTATCGAGCATAATCAGGACATTTTTATATGGTTTTACGTCACTGGGTGTAATAAAAAGAGAAAAAAAAAACCAAATAAATCAAGAAGTGAGATGTTCTACGCAACATTCAATTTGCTTGTTATTATTTACCTCATTTCTTTTTCTTAAAAGCTTCATGGTGTATGTATAGCTTTCATTTCTATTTCAAGGAATTTTTTTTAATCGAAATACATTTTTGTAATTGTAAAAAATAGTACTTTATTAAGTGTGAATATAGAATTTGTTCCGAAAACAACTAATTACAAAATTTTTTTGTGACTGAGAGTTGCTTGCGAGATTATTGAAGTTGTTAAGATAACAAAAGTAATTCTTCGTGACCAGCTTTTGAATTTAAATATTCATGTCGTTTCTTCGCATAGTGGTAAGTCAAATATCCAAGGAGAAAAGGAATTCCGATATATGGTGCTTGAGTAGCAGTACGTCGATAAACATTAAAAACTCCATGTTTCAGGGCACCAGCAAAAGCCTTTTGCGTAAAGGGTGAGAGGGAATAGGTTACGATACCCCTTTGAACTGGACCACCCATGCTACCCCACCAATGATGTTCGACTGTCATCTTACTCTTTTGAGATCTGGGTATGGGTAAAAATGCAACTACTAAAATGAAGAGTATTGGTAAGTTAATATCAAGGCATGCGCGAAATCCCTATAACAAGAACGATACTGTACCAAGTATAATATCAAGTTTTCGGTAAAGAACAAATTACATATTTTCAAACACACGTGATTTTAAAGGTTTTTTTTGTATAGTCACATGATTATCAAGTTTTGAATAAAACATATAAATTGGATATATTAAAAACTTCATTTAACAAAATTAATATTAAAAAAATTTACAATATTTTAATTGATAATATTGTTAAACCAACTTTTTATTAATAATTATTTTTTTTTTTTTTTTTTTTAATCCCGCAATCAGGTTGGTGTCGTTTATTTATTTAATCATAAAGAACCATTACAAG